CAGGGAATGCTGGGAATCCCTGCTGGGGAAGAGCAGGATCCCAAGGCTCTTGGGATGGTGGAATCAGCTCAGAGCTCCCACCAGGACGTGGATTTGAGGTTTTTTGGGGCTGGAAAAGCTGGAATTTCCCATCTCGGAGAGACGGGACTGGTGGGAGAAGCACCACAATTCCCAAAGAAAAAGCAGGAAGGACTGGGAATAAACCTGCTGGGGGGATCCAGGACAGGAGTCCTTGGTGCAGGAATCTGATCCTGGGGTGCTCCAGCAGCTTCTCCATCCCCAAAATCCACCCCAGCAGCTTCTTCATCCCAAAAATCCACCCCAGCAGCTTCTCCATCCCAAAAATCCACCCCAGCAGCTTTTCCATCCCAAAAATCCACCCCAACAGCTTCTTCATCCCAAAAATCCACCCCAGCAGCTTCTCCATCCCCAAAATCCACCCCAGCAGCTTCTCCATCCCAAAAATCCACGTCGGGAATGGGTTTTTCCCGGATCCCGGGTTTTTCCCGGATCCTGGGATTCTCCTCTTGTCCGTGTCCACTTGGAGGCTGAAAAATCCAAGCGGGTGGTGCTTGAAACCAGCAAATGTGTCACTAATTAGTCCTTAAACCATCAAATGTGTCACTAATTAGTCCTTAAACCATCAAATGTGTCACTAATTAGCCCTTAAACCATCAAATGTGTCACTAATTAGGCCTTAAACCATCGAATGTGTCACTAATTAGCCCTTAAACCATCAAATGTGTCACTAATTAGTCCTTAAAACCTGCAAATCCGGCACTAATTAATCCTTAAAAGCTCCTGAAAGGAGGAAGGGCCGGGAATCCCCTTTGGAATCCCCTTCGGATCCGGGATTTTCCCTCCTGTCCCCCCCCCCCCCCCCAAACCTTGTCCCGGGGCAGCTTTTTTTTTGGGAAAAGCCCCTTTGGAATGTCCCCTTTTCCCACCCTCCCCCAGGAGCTCTGAGCATCCAGGAGGAAATCAGCCAAATCAGGCAGAAACTCCAGGCCGGGAAAAAAAACCAGGATCGGCAAAAGAAACGGCACCGGGATCGGATGGTGGAGAGGTAACGGAGCCCAGCCCCCATTTCTAGGGAATATTTCCTTTTTTTAGGGATTATTTGTTTTTCTTAGGGGTTATTTCCTTTTTCTTAGGGATTATTTCCTTTTTTTTAGGGATTATTTCCTTTTTTATTTCCTTTTTTTAGGGATTATTTTCTCTTTTTAGGGTTTATTTCTTTTTTTTAGGGGTTATTTCCTTTTTCTAGGGGTTATTTCCTTTTTTAGGGAATATTTCCTTTTTTTAGGGGTTATTTTCTTTTTTAGGGATTGTTTCCTTTTTTTAAGGGATTATTTCCTTTTTTATTTCCTTTTTTATTTCCTTGGAAATCCCTTGGAAACATCCCATAAAGGCTTGGAGACCTTGGGTTCTCCTGCCACCCTTCCTTGGAAGATTAAAAAAACTGGGAAAACCCCTTGGGAACATCCCATAAATGCTTGGAGACTTCCCAAAGTTCCTTTGGGGGGACGAGGGAGCGACTCTGGCGGGAAGGGAGGAGCTGGGTGGGAATGTTTTGGTGGGAATGTTTTGGTGGGAATGTTCTGGTGGGAATGTTCTGGTTGGAATGTTTTGGTGGAAATGTTTTGGTTGGGAATGTTTTGGTTGGAATGTTTTGGTTGGAA